TCGGACAATCCAAGTGAAAAAGCGACCGACGTGCTACCCGGTTCCCGATTATGCGCTGGAGTGTGCCCATTTCATGGAAGCAGAGTTTTTTATGATGCAGAGGCTCAATCCAGGTTCAGCCCAGACACGGTTAATCTTTCACGTGCGAAAAGGATGGCCCACTGGTGAGATCGTGCGAAACGAGCATTAATCAGAGGGTACAAGAACTACAAGCGCACATGCGCGGCAAAAATGCGGGCCGGATATCGACAACGATTGCGAGGTCTTTACTCTAGGCTTGATACAGCAACGCGGTTGTCCTCCAACAACGCTGAGTGCCAAGACTCAGATGGTACGCAAGCATGCTGCCTACGCGAAGAAATCAGAGGCTGTCAAGACAGCAAAAGCACGACGTTTGAGACAAAGCACGCGCTTTTTCCTTAGAAATCGACAGCGGACTTCACAAGCGCAATGCAACCAAGTATGGCGACAATGTGGTATGTAACGTCGACAATGCAAGACAGCATGCCTTCCCGACGGAGCTAGCGGATGGTATGGCATTCGGATGGTCTTCCATGATGCAGCAACCGCATGCAGAGTCCCAACTGGTTGACGATTATATTGCCAGCATCCGACCACCGAGAAGGATCGCTGATTTAGAAAAGCTTGACGCCCAAGTTTCTTTGGACGAAGTCCGAGCGACTATCAAACGGTGCAAACGCGGAAAGTCCTGCGGCCCGGATGGTCTAGGTAACATGTGGTATCGAGAACACTGCGACCGCATTGCTTCAATTCTCGTTAAGCTATTAAACGACTGGTTACAGACTGATGTTGTCCCAGACTCCTTCGGCGAGGCTAATATTCAGTGCATCAAGAAATTAAAACAGCCACTCACTCACTGGACCATCGGCCAATTGACTTGCTGAACTCAGATACAAGATCGACACAAGGATTTTCGCAACGAGATTTCAGCGCTTTCTGCCGAAACTCATTCACAAGAGGCAATTCGGCTTTGAACCGGGACGCCAGCTCAGCACTGCAGTGGACATGTTCACAGTGCTACGGGAACATGGAACCTGCACGGAGATGTCCAGCGGACCAATCGCCCTACTACTCGTCGCCAAAGCCTGCGACCCCCTGAACAGAGATTACATCATCGCCACTCTTCGTCGGTACGGGTCCTCTCAGCGCTACTGCGTGATGATAGAAAGCATTCACCACGGAATCACGGGCTTCTTCTTGGTCAACGGATACAGCTCGTTCAAGCTAACGGTAAGCAACAGGATACGACAAGGCTGTCCGTTAGCACCGATGCTATCCATCGTAGCACTTGACATATTATACAGAGTCATCGATGAAGTGCTGGATCTACGAGGTATCGCACTTCAAACACACAACGAAGGAACTGAGGTCCGCATTTGTGGTTTCGCCGAAGATACAGCATTGTACCTCGACGACAACAGGAACACACTAGCAGTTTTGAAGATTTTGGAACGATTTGCCATGGTTTCGGGTCTACGAGTGGATCCCACGAAGTCAATATGCATCCCTTTGGGACGGTGGGACAAGAGCCACCCGAGAGTATCAACGGAATCCCAGTTCTAGCCAAGGGAGCCCATTGCAGGTGTTTCGGCGTACAGGTGGGCATGAATGATCACACCCAAGCAAACTGGAACTCATGCAAAAACGCTCTAACGACAAGACTCGTGCTGGCGCGAAACAAAACTCACACGGTTATTCAACGAGCTGAGATCGCGCGAGCTATAGTCGTACCGAAGGTCTTGTTCTGCGCTTGATACGCATGGCCGACAAAGGAGTAACTCGATCCGATCCAGCAGCTAACCAAGAGATTCGTCTGGAGTGGTACAGACAAAAGAGAAGAAGAGGCCGTGGGTAAGTGAGCATCAAACAGAACTTCGAGTCTCTCGAGGTGGAATCGGCTATCCAAACTTGACAACGGAACTTCTCACATCCAGTGCAGCAACAGTAGCGGCTTGGGCAAACGAATGCCTCTCGTGACGAGCACCTTCTTGGAGACCACTTCTCGACGAGCAGGGAATCGGCTTCAAAGTACATCACTCCAACGGATGGGAAGAGCACAGAGAGGCTCCTGTCCAGCCTATGGGAAATATGACGAACGGTTCTAGCCACCCTACTTGCGTTGTGCATCCTTGTAGCTTTCCCAGCGGAACACAACACCGAAGGCGCTCCTGCGTTTGCCATAGGGAAAGCCGAGTGGACAGACGATGAGTATGAAATCGCGGTGGCTAAGCGGATCTCATTG